AATCCCGCCCTTTTAGACTCTAACATTACCCCATGGCCCAAGATCTGACGTCCACAGCGGCCTACTACAAGACAACCTTCGCTTTACCATCCGGCCAAGATCCGAGCTACTAGCATTCGGCACTTTGTTTGTGTCGCCCTTTCCGGGATTCGAACTCTTGATGTGGGGGTGCTCTGATTCCAATTGTTAAGGATCCAACCATTGATCCCAAAAGCCCAGACTTAATGGGGATTGGAATCCCGCCCTCTTTAAACCCTAACATTGCCCCATGACCCAAGATCCGACGTCTACGGCGGCCCACTACAAGAAAACCTTCGCTTGACCAGCCCGCCCAGATCCGAGCTGCTAGCATTTGACACTTTGCTTGTGTTGCCCCTTTCGGGATTCGAACCCTTGACATGGGGGTGCTCTAATACCAATTGTTAAGGACCCATCCATTGATCCCAAAAGCCCAGGCTTAATGGGGATTGGAATCCCGCCCTTTTAGACCCTAACAGATTACTAATTCCAACGAAGAAAACGCAAGAAGTTTGATTACGGAACTTTTAAAGCTATGGAAGGAAGATATTAATAAAGAGAATGAGCATAAGAAGAAGAAACTAGGTTTGAATGAAACATTCGATCTTAAATGGATAGAAAGTTATATGAACTATGGAGGTTGATTATGCAGATGAGGAAAATAAAAGAGGGGAAAAGATATAATTTTGTACTTCTTTTTTCTACTTATTATGGTGTAGTGTTGGCATAGAGTTTTCTTGGTATTGCAATAGAAAGTTTTATTTGCCAGCTCTTTTGAGCTGTTAAATCTGTCATTCTTTGTTCATATGGGTTGCAATCCTTTTGGCATTGTTTAATATATGTTAACATCATATCATGTTAAATATTTTTTGAAGGTCCGAGGGGCTCTGGAAACTTTTTTAAGTGCCTTAAATCCAATTGAACATACAAAAGGACCAAAGAATGAGATTCAACCAGCTTTATTGAATAGTGATTTGCTTTCTAGAGAAGTAGGAAGCATTTCTCTTCTTCTAAGTCTCCTGGTAAGATTTCCGAAGTTAATTTCTGTAAAAAACACACAGATCATATGTCTTCCTCTATGTTTTGCTAATTCAGTTCCTTGGCAGTCAGAGGAGGATTTTTATGTACGATATTATACTCTTCAACTGTTAACAGCACTCTTGACAAATTCTCCAAATAGGTACTTTCTTCCATTTCGACTCTGAAAATTTCCCCTTTTAATCACAAGTGAATGGAACACTGCTGAAACCCTTTTCAGGCTACAGGAAGCTATTTTGACTATTCCTCGTGGTATTACACGACTCATGGATATGCTCATGGATCGTGAGGTGTGAGAGACTGGTGTATGAAGTAATTTGTCTATTGTTCTTTGCCGTTCCTGTTCCTGTTGCTGAATGTTGACAAAATGTATGCTATTTTTGTAAGGTTATTCGTAATGAGGCCTTGTTACTTCTCACATATCTGACCCGTGAGGCTGAGGTGGGTTTTCCCTTCTAAGGATCGTTGAAAGTCTTAGAATCTACTACCGTTTACCTTGTTTGGATAACTATTGTGCATTCATTATTCAGGAAATTCAAAAAATTGTAGTGTTTGAAGGAGTTTTTGAGAAGATTTTTAGCATTATCAGAGAGGAAGGCGGCTCAGAAGGAGGTGTAGTTGTGCAGGTGGTTTCTGGACTAAGACTCCGATTTTGTGATACTCTTGCAATTGCTGTTTGGTTTTCTTTACCAGTCAAGGACTGACTTGTTAAGAAATCTTGCCATACTTACAATTTATGAATTTCTCGTTTTTTACCAGTTGAATGATTTATCCTGTTCTTTCTCATTTGGTTTGCCCAAACTGCATGGATGTCGTTCTATTAACATAGCTGAAAATATTTTTTCTGCTTTTGGGGTTTTTTTTTTAGGCTGAAATGTACACTAAGATATTATAGTTTTCTTCCTGAATAGGATCCATATGTAATGGTAGTTTGTCAATTGGCCATATGCATTGTGTTAAAAAAAAACTTATATGTGGTGGGTCATATTCTATGATCAATCTTTTCATTTTTCTTCACAGTGAGAACTGCTCATATTAGTTCTGGAGTAATTTTCTCCTCTGCACAGTATGCATTCTGATAATAATAATTTTTTAAAATCTATGTTCCTTTTGATACTGCAACAGGATTGTCTTGAACTTTTGAACAATCTCATCCGAAATAATGCATCTCACCAGGTTTGTACTCATCAAAGTTAATTTTGTTAACATGGATGTCGTATTTGATAATGTCTTTTATATGTGGTTTAGGTATTGCTTAGGGAGACAATGGGCTTTGACCCTTTGATATCCATTCTAAAGCTCAGAGGAAGCACCTACAAATTTACACAACAGAAGGTTAAATACTTAAATTTCTTAAAAGTTTTTTTCTTCATTCTAACTTAACATAAATATGCTGTTATGCAATATATTCTTCCACTCGTCTAGCTAAACCTTTTCTGTTTTGCCGAATTAATGGTTTTCGAATAGACAATTAACCTACTCAGTGTATTGGAAACTATTACTTTGCTTCTGAATGGAGGTCACGAAGCTGATCCCGGAAAAGACAACAATAGTCTGACAAACAAAACAATTTTAGTTCAGGTTTGGTTTATTTTAGTTTTAGAACCATTTTTCTTATAGTGAAATTTCTGAGAAGAAGTATTATCATATATCGCTAATCTTTCTTTGTAATTCTAGAAAAAGGTTCTGGACCATCTTTTATTGTTGGGAGTTGAAAGCCAATGGGCTCCTGTCGCTGTTCGTTGTGCGGTAAGGCAGCAATTACTCAATAGCATGCTTCATTGAGATACTCTATTTTAACCTCGTCATTACCATGTCCCATATAAAGGATTATAAGCTATATAGCAAAGAGAAAAATTGATAAATTCCCTTAAAGTAAAAAGAATATTGCATTTAATTCTGCAGTGTAGTGTGCTGAATTGTCTTCTAAATTGGATGTCTACAAAACATGCCAGTAGAAATTTTTGGAAGTTTCTGATGTCCCTGGTTGATATTTCGTAACTGTTTCAGTCACTGCGATGCATTGGCGATCTGGTTGTCAGTCACCCTAACAATTGTGATGCCCTTGCTAACAAAAAACTTGGAGAGGAGCCACAGGTTGAGCCTGCCTTAAATTCTCTTCTTCGGGTCATCTTGCGCACTGCTAGCATGCAAGAGTTTGTAGCAGCTGACTATATCTTTAAGAGCTTTTGTGAGGTTTGAACTATTAGTTGAATTTTTGAATGGTTATTTTTCCTTTCCATTATTATTGTTGTCTTTGTCGTCGTTGTTTCGTTGTCATCGTTATTCTTGTTATTATATTTTATCTTGTCTGATGTGCTTTGAAATTGAATTTTACTTACTTCCTCAATATAACTATTTGAAACAGAAAAATCCCAATGGTCAAACAATGCTGGCATCCACATTAATTCCTCAACCACATTCAATTAATCACACTCAACATGATGAGGAAATTAACATGTCATTTGGAAGGTGGGTTTTGCTTCCACTTCTCTTTTGGTACCTCAATTTGTTTCTAAGTTATGTTATCAAGCTTGTACAGTGCCTGAACTTCATATACTAATGGATGATATAGACCATCCCTCAAGGAACTCAACTAAATGTTTTGAAAATCTGCATCTTGCAGCATGCTATTTCAAGGTCTTACATGGAGTGAAAATGAAGGTGATCTTGAGGTAATTACTTACATATCGTATGATTTTAATTCTTGGGGAAGTACTTGAGCATGAGAAGTTTACCTCAAGCTTCTTGTCCCATTTAACTGGTTTTTCTTTTAGTTCTGCATTTCAACACTTTTGATTACTATTTGTTTGTAAGTTTACTGTAAGTTGGAGATGTCTAAACTCACATTTAACGTTTAAAAAGGGTTAATGAGATACCGAGGCATTTTACCTTCATGAGGCGGATGTGTAAGCCTCGAGGCGCTATGAGGCATGCACCTCATGACAAACAAGTACAATAATTCTAAAAGTATAAAATGTAGAAAATATGCTCATAGAAAACCATAAACCAGTATTAAATATTCATAGTGAAACATATTAATATTAATTATTAACAAAATAAAAGTCAAACTTGCAAGCAAATACGATATATATGAATAAAGTAGCACATAAAAGGTTTCAAATAAAGGGTTGGGGGCAATGAAGTAGAAGTGGTTGGATTTTGTTAGCTGTTTGTGTACCTGATTGTAATCTACTACAAGAAATAGAAACAACGTAGAAATCGATTATATCATCACTAATAGTACGATTTTTATGGAAATCATCAACATAATTATTTCCCTTAATCCTCCTCTGTTCTTTCTCATTCTTTGTTATCACCCTCCATTTGCAATGGCGTGTCCTGCTTCCCTTTTCCCTTCCATGTAAAGACAAAAAAGAAAATAAAAGATCCCAAAAACATTTTAGGTTATTAAAAAAATAGGCCAAAAATGTCTGGAGACAATGAGTGAACACCTTAGTTCCTCTAAGGCTTAGCCTTGAGACATAAACCTCTTAGACGACACTTAAAAGCGTAAGTTTTGGGCGTTTTACGAAGCCTCATGTGAGATAGGATTCGGTTCAAACTTCAAATAGTTTTTAAAGAATGCAAACATCTAATGTATGCTTTATTCCTAAAGGAGACGAATCAGAAATACTGAAAGATGGAGTTCTTCTTTGGTTATGATTTTTTTTTTTTTTGGTGATCTTTGTATTTTGTTGAGGTGTTCTGATTGAAGTGTCTATGAACTTTCAGTAATTTACTCTTAGTAATTCAAATATGTGAGAAAAAAAATGTCTCTTATAGATGTCGAACCTCAAATTATGAAGTTCGATTTTATTCTCTTAATAGCCTTTAAAAAACATAATTTAGCTATTGCTTTCTGGCTTAGCATTTTCAATGTAAAAAAAAAAACAATACACGAGTAATTTAGGCTGCTGGGAGAATGTCATGTCATTAACTAAAGAGTTCATATCTGGAGAGCGAGGGACCCAGGGAGGGGATGGGACTTCGTAAGTTACACCTTTTTTGTACATTTAATTTTTGTAAGTTAAACTCAAACCAACCTCCTTCAAACCTTGATCCTCGCAAATAAAGAAAATATTGACCTTATTCTCGGTTGGACTCGTGAACTTATTGCCATTACATGATACTAATATCTTTCTGTTGCTTGTTGCATGGAGTCTGATTTTCTTTCTTGTATTGTCAAATGCAGACTTGTTGTAGAGCTGCTAGTGTCCTTTCTCATTTACTGAAGGACAATATTCAATGCAAGGAGAGGGTATGCAGTTTCTTTTTTATTTATATAACATATTTCTTTGAAATGTTTGGAGGAAGAAGATTACTTTTGAATGGCGGTTATTGTTGAGCATTGTTGATAGAGAACATGACAGAGAAAGAGAATAAGAGTGAAGAGGAGAGAAATAGACGAAGAAAATAAAGAAAAAAGGGGAGATTGAAGAAACAGCATATGGGAGAGGTTTCAAAATATTATTATAGTGCATGATTGCAAAGCTTAAATTAAAATTCAAAGTGATTATAAGTTGTAGGTCTTACTGAACTTGGGATAATAAGTGAGTAGTAAGTTGTGGGTCCTATGAAGGTGTAGATAAAATGTATGTTTGACCACATAAATTAAAATTTAAGTTTTGCGAAAAATGCACATCAATTCAATTCAGCAATAACACGTGTAAATTTTGAACCTTGGTTCCCTTTTATAGTACACAAGTTAAATTCAAGGGAACTTCTAATGCATCACAAGCTAAATAATTTAGAAAACACTGGTTAATTAAAACTAATAAAACCTATTCTAAATTAAACTCTATCTTTAACCCTCTTTCTCCAAAATTATGTCATTGATTCCTAATTAGGCCCCTGTTTGGTGCACTGGGGCCGAGAGTGCATTTTTTTGTTGATGTGATGGGAACCATATGGTTGAAAGAAGGAAAAGTTATTGATGTGATGAAAAATATTATTTTATTGAAGAATGTGTGGTTGAAAATGAGTAGAATAATGATCATGAAAAAAATAATATGGCTCAAACATGGGCTAATTATTCGCAATTTAAGGCTGTAGTCCACTATGTAGTTCATTTCTTATTGTAATATGGAAGTTGCTATAGGTCCTTCGACTTGAACTGGAGGCTCCTATGCCCTCATTGAGAGGTCCAGAACCATTGATGCACCGTGTGGTGAAGTACCTTGCGCTTGCCTCTTCCATGAAAAGCAAAGATGGGAAAACAAGCTCATCTGGGTACCAGTATGCACAGCCAATCATCCTAAAACTGCTTGTTATTTGGCTCTCTGATTGTCCAAGTGCTGTGCAGTGTTTTCTTGATTCACGTCCTCATCTTACGTACTTGCTTGAGTTAGTATCAAATCCAACAGCAACAGCATGTATAAGGGGATTGACTGCTGTACTCTTAGGAGAGTCTGTCATATACAACAAAACCAGTGATAGTGGAAAAGATCCTTTCAGTATAGTTGATGCCATAGGCCAGAAAGTTGGTCTGACGTCGTATTTTCTGAAGTTTGATGAAATGCAGAAAAGCTCGGTTTTTAACTCTGCAAAGTCGGCTATGCCTCGTAAAGCATTGACAAGATCTAATGCTGCTAGTATGGCTGAGATTGAAGATGTTGATGAGAAAGAGACTAGTAATCAGAAGAATGAGGATCATCCGTTGCTTGAGTTGATGTTTGATTCACAGTTTATTTCCTTCGTAAAAGGTTTGGAAGTAAATATTAGGGAACAAATTGTAGAAATTTATAGTCATCCAAAGAGCCAGGTGGCAGTGGTGCCAGCAGAACTGGAGCAGTCTAGTGGAGAAAGTGATGGTGAGTATATCAAGAGGCTAAAGATGTTTGTTGAGAAGCAGTGCCATGAGATACAGGTATTTTTTTTTGGATAATTTTTTGGGTTCTATTTTATAATCATTTTTATATAAAATACAAAGATCAAAGTATTTAATATTTTTACATCGCCGTCAAGTCTGAATTGATTATTAATTTTTTCATCTAGATGTCAATGTTTTAATCGGCTATAGTTAGCAAAGAGGTAATAACTGAGAAGTTTCTGTACATTTTCTGTATTTAAATAGATGCTATCTTGGTATATTTCCTAAAATTGCTACGGTTGATGTTAAAATAAAATTGAAATAACTGTTCCTGAGTAATTACATGATCTGATATTATTGCCGAATATGTAAGCACAAGGCTATTGATTCTTCTTCCTGTTTGATTTGAAGAAAGCAGTCTTACCAGCTGTATGCTTTTTGTTTTTGGCTGCTTTCTTTGTTGTCATTGATCTTGCATGGCCTTTTACTTGAGGCAAACTTGAATACAAATTTTATGTTTCTCTTTAGTTGCAATTTCACATTACAATTATTGTCTTTTTTTTCCCCACCCTCAGTTGCTTATAAATCATTAGGGTAACAAACACTGGTAGCCACTAAACTGAAAAAGAATGTGAACGTCATTGTCCACTTTGAAACAAAATAAAGTTTGATTACTAATCTGAAACTTTGCTATAAGTTGAGCAACTTGCAACGTTTTGAACCCTAAATCATCAAGTTCGAAATTCACTCTCTTGAATAACTGCCTATCCTGGCTAATCTTTACATCTTTTTGCTATTTTCATCTTCACTATAGGACCTTCTGAGCCGGAATGCAACTTTGGCCGAGGACTTGGCGAAGACTGGTGGTAGTGGTTTGTCGCAGATTGAAAATAGAGCTAGTGGTGGCTCAGAAAGAGTCCAACTCGAGAGCTTGCGTCGAGAGCTTCAAGAGGCCTCCCAACGTGTAGAGATCCTCAAAGCTGAGAAAGCCAAGATAGGGTCTGAAGCTTCAAATTACCGAAGTTTAGCTCTCAAGACGGAATCTGATCTCCAAAGTTTGTCCGATGCATACAATAGCCTCGAACAGGCGAACTTTCAGCTCGAAAGGGAAGTAAAATCTCTAAAAAGTGGTGGAGCCACCCCAGACCTGGATATTGAGGCAATAAAGGCAGAAGCACGGAAAGAAGCTCAGAAGGAGAGTGAAGTTGAATTGAACGATTTGCTCGTCTGTCTCGGGCAAGAGCAAAGCAAGGTGGAGAAGCTTAGTACAAGGTTAATGGAATTGGGTGAGGATGTTGACAAATTACTTGAAGGCATTGGGGATGAGACAGAACTTCCAGAAGACGACGAGGAAGAAGATTGATTTTATTCTCTTTAGAGGGTTTCTGGTTTAAATTATTGGGCTATTTTCGTCTTTTAACGGCAATGTGTTCTTTGTACATCCTTTTGTAACTGTACAGAGTGGTCGTTTAGTTATATGATGTTGAAACATAGAAATGAGACTGGATTAACTCTTCTTGCTGCTAATTGAATGATCGAATCAGCACTTTTTACCAACCATTTTGTATTAATTGAAGGGAATTTTTCGATTAGATTGAGTGATATACGAATACGAGTAGTAATGTTCACATAATACTCTTGGATGAACATACAAGAAATCAATAGAGCAACGGGAGAAAAATTAGGTAGTCGAGATTGGCTAAAGACTAAGGGTGCTTCGACGGGACTGAGGTGTGCGAGGTTAAGCTCGATGGTTAGCCATTTATTTTTGCTGATGATTCATTGATTTTTCTTCGAGCAAAAATGTCACACTGTGAAGCTTTAAAGAGTGTACTGGAGATTTATGAGAAGGCGTTGGGCAAAAAATAAATTAGGTCAAATCTTCAATAACCTGTAGTCCCAACAGGCAAGGCTCGGGCTTCATCAGGTATTTAGGCATGCCTTCGATGGTGGGCAGAGATAAAAGGAAAACATTTACTACTGTTCTTGGATAGAACCTGGAAGAAGAACGATGGGTTGAAGAGAGGACTATTTGTTAGATATTTTTCATCATTTTGCATGTGTTATCTTTTGTTTTGCGAATATTTTGCCGTCCCGACTAGTGTTTGCCGCTACGCAACGAGGATCGACCTGCCCGGTCAGGTCGCGGGGGTCGAGGGGGCAGCGCCCCCCGTGGGCGCTCAGGGGCAACGCCCTCGAAAGAGAATTTTATTTTCAGAAGACTTTGAATATGTATATTTCTTCCAACAGATGCGTCCATTCATTTCAAGGGACACACCTATTCAAAAGGTTGTCTCCAACAGATGCGTCCATTGATTTCAAAGGACACACCTATTCAAAAGGTTGCCTCCAGTTCTATATATTCTGGGCGAATTCTCATTTGCAAGACGCATTAAAAAAATTCGTTATTTTCTATTCTTCTCTCTTTTCTCTTGGCATCATCAGTTTCGTTATAGAGTGTTTTCTTGGTTTGATCAAATAGTCACAATTTGAATCAAACGCCTCCATTGTATCCTGAGAGAGGTTTTCTATCATACTCCGGTCGTGACTTTGTTGGAAAAGGGAGAAACATCTCTTAAAAGATAACGTTTTTCGTGCCTTGAAGTTCATTAATTTTTTCCAAATTTTATTACATATTTCCAACACTATTTTCAGCAGGGAGGGGTAAAGTTCTTAAAAAGGCAGTTCTTCAAATCTTTCAGCAAATCTGATCACTTATTTCCCGCTTTTGGTTGGGGACAAAGGATGGGAAACGGAAAATGGCTTGGGTTGGCTGGAAAAATGTGTACAAGCCTAAGAGCAGCGGAGGGTTGGGATTTAGGGACTTAATGCTGTTTAATGAAGCTCTATTTCAACATGCCAAATTCATTGGCTTCACAGACCCTTAAAGAAAGATATTTCAAGGAGTCTACTTTTCTTGAGGCCACTGATAATACAGGTTCATCATTCGCGTGAAAAAAATATCTTATGGGGGAGGGAATATTGGTCAAGGGACCTTGGTGGAAAGTGGGGATGGGGAGAGCATTAAGGTTTTTGGAGATGCAAGGATGCCACGAACAAATTTATTCCGGGTGGTGATATTGACGTTGGTGGAGTGGCTGGAGAGGGTTAGTGAGTTGCTGGAAATACCGTGTCATTGTGATGTCCAAAAAAATCGGTGACAACTTTATTCCGATTGACAAAATTTATTCTTTCAATTCTGTTAGTAACAATGGATAAAAAATGATTTGGTATTATGACAATAAACGAAAGTACACGGTTCACAGTGGTTTATAGGCTTCTAGTTGAGGGAGACGTGATCGAAAATACCATGGAGGACAGAAGTCTGGAAAATGGCCTGCACCCTCAAAAGTGCTAGAAAATCTTCGCAAGATGTTGAGACAATGAAGTATAATCCACCATCTGGGCAATAAACTATGCCGCGAAAGGAAAAGTTAAAAAGAAGAAGAAAATGGAGCATCGTCCTAAAAGCATTATTTGCACCATCTCCTTCAATTAGAGCTGCTTTAGGGACTCCAAGCAAATAGCCTTTGCAGATTCTTCAAGCCTTCAACTGGTTTGCAAAAGCAGAAAGCGAATCGAAAGAAGGAACATAGAACTTTAGAAAATCTGAATTTTAAAATTGAGATTAGTTAAAATCTTATATTAATTTGAATCAATTTTAAGTGCTTGATCATTCCATTACTTCCTCTATTTATACAGCCGAGTCTTGCTTACTATACATACAAGAAAATTCTAGAATGAAGTTGCCAAGTGGCTAATAGAAAACGAACACAATTCCTAAAAATCAGGCACCAAATCAGTTGCTGCATGAAGGTTGTTATTCGGTTGTGCAATTGATGGAAAGATTCTACCACCCCCCCTTCAAGGTGGAGTGTATTCTATCACTCCAAGCTTGTCTCCAAGTACTAGAAATCTTGAACGAGTGACGGGTTTGCTTAGTAAGTCTGCTGTTTGTTCAGATGATGGCACATAGTGTATTTTTAATTCTTCCCTTAGGACTTTATCTCTTACAAAATGAATGTTGAGTTCAATATGTTTCGTGAGTGCATGGTAAAGATTCGAAGCTAATGCACTTGCACTCAGATTGTCACACCAAATACTTGGAACTGATCGTCGAGGCATTCCCAATTCATTCATCAAGAATTGGATCCATGAGATTTTTGATGCACTGTGAGCTAGTGCCCTATACTTAGCATCTGTGCTTGACCCGGCAACAATGTGTTGCTTTTTAGAAGACCAAGATACCAAGTTGTCTCCAAGATACACACAGTAGTCTGCAGTAGATCGCCTATCATCTGGACATGATGCCCAGTCAAAGTCAGCAAAGGCAGTTATGTTAAGACTATCATTCCTTCGAATGGCAAGTCCATAATTTGGTGTGCCTTTTAAGTACCTAAACACCCTCTTTAGTACCTTCCAATGAGCATCAGTAGGTGCTTGAAGAAACTGATTCAATCTGTTAGCTGAATAAGTAATATCAGGTCTTGTGTGAGCTAGATATTGTAGTCCACCTATTGCACTTCTATACAAGGTTGGATCTTTCATAGGTGGTCCCTCTGTTCTTGAAATCAGTTTTCCTACAGCCATAGGTGTTGGGCTTGGTTTTAAACTCTCATATCCAATTCTTTTAAGCAGGTCGACAGCATACTTTGTCTGTGTTAAATATAAGCCTTTGCATCTCTGTGCACCTCTATTCCCAGAAATTGATTGAGGCTTCCCATGTCTTTAAGAGCAAAGCTTTTTGTTCAACTTATCAATAAATTCTTACACCTGTTGAGAGTTACTACCTGTTACAACTATATCTTCTACATAAACCAAAGCAAATAGTACATCCTCTTTGTTTGTCAAGAAGAATAACGAGTTGTCAGCCTTAGACTGTCTGAACTTCCACTCTAACAAGGTACCCTTGAGCTTCTCGTGCCAAGCTCTTGGGGCCTGTCTCAGCCCATACAAGGCCTTCTCCAATTTGCATATAAAGTTAGGATTTCCCTCATCTACAAATCCCTGTGGCTGATTCATATAGACCGTTTCATTCAACTTACCATGCAAGAAGGCATTATTTACATCTACTTGTCTAATCTCCCAATCCTTAGATACAGCTAGTGTTAAGATAATTTTCAGGGTTGAAGCTTTAATAACTGGGCTAAATGTTTCACTAAAGTCTACTCCAGGAGTTTGAAGGAATCCTTTTGCAACTAACCTTACCTTGTGCATTTGTATTCTCTCATCTGAATCATCTTCAATCTGAATACCCATATGTTGTCAATTACCTTCATGCCAGCTTCCTGAGGTACCAGTGTCTATGTTTTGTTTCTGATTAGTACACTATACTCTTCTTGCAATTATTATTCATCAAGGCTTCTTTGACAATGAGTGGCTCAGTTTCTACTGATTTTTCCATTGTCTGTTTTGTGTAAACTTTTGGTTTGTAGATCTTTCTACTGATTTTTCCATTGTCTGTTTTGTGTAAACTTTTGGTTTGTAGATCCCAGCTTTACTTCTAGAGATCATCAAATGTCCAGTGTTGTGTTCTAAATTGCATCTGTGTTTTGAGTATTCGTTTCATCTCCTTCACCCTCAATATTGTATCCTCCAAGCTGTGTTTCAGTCACCTCAAGATCATCATGTTCTTCTTGATTTACTCCAACATCACTATTTTCTATACATTCTTCACCCCTACTTTCAATTTTCAAATCTTATCAGAGGAGTCTTGACGTCGGGCATAATATAGATTATTTTGTAGGTAGGTAGTAAAAGGTAATGAATAGAGAAGAGCACAAGAGAAAAGTCAGAGAAAACGTCCAAGAAAAGAAATCTTTATTATTCAATTTAATTTTTTTGAAAATATCTCACAAACCGGATTATCTAGGTAAAGAAATCAAAATTATCAGAATTTTACCAAAAATAGAAAAATCTCAATATTCATACCAAAAGATAGTACGTAATAAAAGAAATAAAATCTCAAAAATTCAGCTCAATCCAGGTTCATAATCTATCTTAAAAAGGCAAATGAAATATTACTAAATGAGGCAAAAAATAACTTAAAATTGGAATTTGAAAGGGAAAACAGGGAATTTTTCACTCGAAAACGATTTGCACCGAGCATAGCGGGTGGTTACGATGTGCGTGCCGAAAAGAGTTTTCCAAATTGGGGTCATGAGCGCAATTCCGATAACCGTAGCCAAAGTTATGGACAAATTATCAAAACTCGTCCAAATGTTGCCAAATTTGCGTTCATCTGTCAACTTGTGATATCTTAGCACAATTAACGTGCTGTCGACAGCTCAGAGTCATCTGAGTCGGATGCTCCTACATTAAGTCTGTAGTAGGTAAAGCATCAGGATATATTGTATCAATGAC